ACATAGCGACGTAGGTATGTTGGGGCGTGTTAGAACTAGCCGTTTTAGGTAGGCGTGGCTGACTTAACTTTTATAAAGAATATCTCTTTGGATTTGAGACTTTAGTCTTTGCAACTTTACAGATCTTCTTTATGCACCAAGAGCTTGTAACACTCCAAAGAGAAAGGACAAATTTTAATCGCATCATATGACCCCTTTAAGGCCAGAATGATAACTACAAAGATAAACGCAATCATATTAACGCTATTTTACCAGGATCCAATATGCAAATTAACAAGGGTTCTTTACTGCGTTCAGAATCGGTGGACACTTGGGGAAGAAACAAGATGATGTAGACTACAGATTTCTTATGTTTTGCATTAAATATCTGCTGACTGTGCTCAAAGAACAGCGAGAGAGAAAGCCAGGCATGACGAAGGCCTAGTGAGGTAAGCTACCATATCGACAGCCAGTGTGAAGGCCTGTGGTGAGCTGGCAGCAGAAGCGAAGGCAGATGGTCGCACTGCTTATAGTCAGAGGTGACTGTAATCTCGATAAGTGCAGGCGATAAATCTCTCGAGGATGGAAACATTACAGAGGTCTATGATATTAATGAAAAATGCCATGTAAGTGTTCTTGCCAGATGCTTTTTAAGGAAGGTGCTTTCAATCTGCATTTAGAAGATTCAGATTTCTGGGTCCATTTTACTTGGGCGACCACCTAGGTGACCCTAGCAACCCCATAGCAACACACTAAAACTCTCAGAACACCTTAGAAACAGCACAGCAATGCCCTGGCATCGAAAACAAGAAAGATTGTAAAATAGGATCCAATATGTAGAACTTTTCAGCTTTTTCTCCTTATTTTGAAGTACGCATTGTATTATGTTGTATTTTAGTATTAATAGAAATATCTGTGAACTAAAAATTAAAAAATTACCAGTACCTTTTCTGTTTCTCTACCGATTTTTTCTTCTTCCAGTGGGTAGCGGCAAGGTTTGCACAGGTAAAGACTTAAAACACAAAAAATTAAGTTAAAATCTATTCATGTAATCCAGTGGTTTTCAAAATTTTTGACTTGAAGTACCTTTCAGAAAAAAAGGTACAACAGCTGTCACTGGGGCAGTAACTTTTCAAGAGGTACACATTTGTACCTTATTTATCCCTAAAGAGTGGATATAAGAACTTTAAAGGTACACATTAGTACCTTACTTGTACCTTTTGAAAATGTACTGCCCCAGTGACAGCTTTTGTACCTTTTTTTTCTGAGAATGTATGTTCACATTTATGCATTTAGCAGATGATTTTAACAAAAACGACTTGGAAAAGAGGAACAAAAGATATGTTTCAAGAATTGTGTTTACCATCCAATATTCCCACATTCTGTAAATTTTCATGACTTGAATTGAAGCCTAACAGTCTTTCATGAATTGAGCTGAACATTTTTATATGCCAAGGTCAACAACACACTTGTCATTTGAAGCATTCAGATGCTAACTAACCCAGATATAGCTTTAAAAAGTGTTCTGATTAGAATAATGATGTGCCCTGTTACTGAAGGAGTGAGTCATTGAAGTCCGTCATGCATCTTCAGTATTCGAGCAGCAATGTTTCTCTCCTAAAGCAAATAAATGCATGAAACAACGTTGATTAACCATTGCAATCTGTGTTTTCTGATTGTTTTGAAAAAGTTTGTATTCTTACAAAATAATGTTACATTGTCATTTAACATTTTTTCACTTTATGTACTTACCATTTTAAGTTCATCAGCACAAGCGTTAAGTTTTTGCCTCAACTCATCAGTCACAGTAACATCCGAGCGCACTGACCAGCAGCCGTCCCTGAAGCTCACAGAAAACACCAAACCTGCTGGAATCCCAAACTGCCCTGCAGATTTACAAAGGTCAGTCATGCTCATTCACGCGTCATATAAATTAACTATAAAATATACAATATATAGCCATATTTGTTTCATGTTTGAGAATGATTCAGATAGCCTTGCCTGTACTAATTACACCCAATGAGAAGACGTCCTCTGGAGATGCATCATTATTCCAGGCCTTTAAAATGGTCATTATTCTATTTGTTGTAGATATTGCTGTGGCTTTGTTGGTCTTTGATGAAATTGTGGTACGGTGTTTATGCACTAAACTCATAAAATCTGTCTGCAGCCATTTCCTTTTTTATTTACTGATACCCTTTATAATGATTCATAAATGGAATTGCATGAAAGAGCCATATGTTTTAAATGATTCATGCACCACAATGATATTTACCAATCGTAAATCATTTACATGCCTTGCTGAGAAAAACCATCTGGTCCCCAAATTGTGCCATCACATCTGAAAACCTTCGCCCTCTGTAGGTCAATATGGAAACTGCCACTGATGTTTCCCCATACGATGACATTAGTGATGTCTGCAAATATAATAAAAAGGGAAAATTGAAGCATAGACATCAAAAGACAGGAAAATAAACAATCAAACAAACAAATAAATAAATAATTGATTAAAATAATTTTTTAAAGTATTTTAATAAATTATTTAATAATTTACCCATACAATGATGATGATTATTATTATTATTATAATAACTTTAATCAATAATTAAATAATTAAAATAATAAAAATATAATATAAAATTATAAAAATAACAAAAATAATATAAAATATAAAAATACAATATAATATAAAATAATAATAGCAGATTAAATATATATATAAAAATAATTATGAATAATTTCAAAATGTTTCAAACTGAACTGAATTTCAAATGTATAATTTTATTGCAATTGAATATTAGAACTAATATTTACACGGATACTAAAAAACGTTCTGCCACCTGGCTCACCATGTGGTCCTTGTCATCCTGCACACCATTACTTTCACACACAGGGTGCAGGTCATCCAGAAAAATGATGAAGTGGGCTTCCTGAAATGCCTGTGTCTGGTCTGAATGGACAGTGACTTCATGTAGCCGATGGTCAGAAGCCAAGGTCTTCTGTTTCCATCTTGAGTCCTTGTAGCATTTCCTCAGAGCCGTCAGCATCCATGAGGTGAAGGCTGAAGGTGGCGAGACCTGGAAACAGCCCCGTGGAGAACAACTGAGGAATGAGGCTGTAGCAGATGGGGTTCAAAGCACTGAAAGAGAGTTTTTGTCATGCATCGTAGCAATAAGAAAATATTGAGACAAAAGGTCCTGATAAAACATGTTCACCTGCTGATCCAGATGTGCAGAGATCTGAGAGACACGTGTCGGTGGATTTCCTCCTCTATACACAGCTCTTTAGTTTGTCGATTCCCGGCTGAAATTTTTAGCATCAGATCAGAGTTCATATCTGAAATGATGCCATAGAGTACCCTGCAGGAGAGGACAAAAGTAATAATCTTCACATGCAATATCTACATTAAATCCCACGTTGCATTGGTCTCTGAGCAATGTCACTGATCAGTTTCTGATTTAAGTTGTAGCAGTTTAGGTCAATATGAGCTACAATGAAAGGGCTTCGTTTAATTTTAAATGTTGTCTTAAATTAATATATTGCACTAATTTAGAGCTGGAATAAAACCTGGCACATCTTTGCATAGCATATTCATTGCACAGCACCCAGAGAGAACTATTACATTTTTTCTCAATTCTCAAATGAGATTTTTTTTCTTTTCTTAAAACAGTAAGTTCTGATCTCTGGGCAATGTGTTTCTTGTTCACACAAGATTTGAATTTATTATTGAAAATTGAACTTTGAAATGGGAAGCTGATGTCTCTCAATCATGAGACGATTACATTTGGAGTCAGAATGAAACCCAATCTTTTTTATAAAATTTTGATGCCCATTTTTACATTACTTCAAGGACACAGATTCTGGTTCAAATGCATTCTTTTCTAGTTTTATTTAGATTTATATACGTATGTACATGCATTAATTACTGTATGTTATTTGTTCTCTTAATTCGGTAATTATCATGTGATACATGCAACATGATTCATTCAATGTCAAAATCTGTCTGACATACATGTATACTTCATAAATATCTATGACATGGAATGTAAATAAATGTACTGTATACATACAAATCTGGGTAGTACAATATTGACCTGCTGTTAAAACCCATAATGTTTAGTGTAATACACAATAGCACTCCGCTAGACAAAACAGTGTCAACAAAAAAGTAGAAAAAAAATGTCAATGTGTATATATAAGAAACATTTCCAGGGTTATTTGACATGGTACCAAAACAAATAAACATTATAACTAGTGTGGCTCACACGATGGCAAAAACACTTCATTTTGGTGGCATTAGCCAATGTACTGACATAATAACTAGGTTTTGAAGCATGAATTCAATGTTCTGGGTGGGTAACTACATTTTTCAGACATGCAATAGAGTTGTCCCACAAAACAGCTGTGACAATTGCACGGTTAAAACCGTTTAAAAAAAATAAGCCAATGCAATTGAGAAAAACCCTAATTCATACTGTATTTTCTGCAGAGGTAAGCTCTTACATTTTCTTGATTACTTTTAGATAAATAGATTCCTGTTTTATTTCAGTATCCTATGCAAACCTGAGCATGTTCAAGGAAATCACTGAAGCCTCCGAGCAGTAGGCCTTTCGCTCCACGATCAATCAGCTCTCTCCATACAGACAATAGGAGAGCATGAATGCTCCCAGCCATTTCTACACAGAAGCAATGCTTCAATATGAATAAAATACATAAATGAACCAATCATAAAACGAACATTAAGCTGTGTGCCAATCATTAAAGAGCTCCATGAACTTTTCAGCTTTACCTCCCAGTCATTGGGGTGCACACAGATCTCGTGAATGTGAAAATCAGGCAGGTTTCTTTGCAGCACATCAGCCAGAAGCTCAGCCTTTGCATAATAAGGACAATCAGCCTTTCCTGACAAACGTAGATAATGTTATAGCATTAAAATTATGCTGACTCTGACATGATAGACCACACACATCTAAATACTGTAGGGGTTTTGCTAGAAAAAAATACAAAAACTGCTGAAATGCAGCTTACAGTTTCCAAACAGACAGACAGACCTGCGAGAACAAGCTTTGCTATGTTTTTCCATTCACAAGCGCGTCCGCAGTTGCTAGGTAACAGTGTGTGTTCCGCATAAAGAGGCTCGTTAGAGGAAACATTTCGGATTTCGTTTTTGAATCTGTGTTTTTATAAATTGTCCAAAAATAAAATTCGACATATTACATGAATTAAACAAGTCATACTGGTGTTCATTTAACTATTTTTATAGCATTTTTAAAAATAATATTGTGGATACTACAAGCGGAACTATTGTGAGGCAGTAATCGTGCGCTCGCTGTTTCTGTCAGGGCTGCGCTCAAAGTGAGAGCTTAGCACAGCACACGTGAAGAGAGCAAATGAAGGGTAAGATCCTTACATTGTGATTATTAAAGTTTACAAGATCCTTAAAATGTATGCCTGTGCCATAATTAACCGCAAACATGTAAACACTGCATGGGTTATACAGCTATAGTGGCGCATTTCTTCAAGGTTTCTGTATAAGGGCATGCGGACAATATAAGCACAAAGCTGATGCTCTCTTTATTAGTAAATGTATGTATTAATTATTATATGTCTTTTGCTAATTTAAACCTTTTTAGTTTGGTCAATGCGTAAATGCGTCTGTTTATTATGGTTAAAAAAGTATTGTGGCTAATCACCCTTACGAAACAATAATATACGGAAACATGCTGAAAATAACAAATAAGGCATTATATATATATATATATATATATATATATATAAATTAGTAAAATTCTAATTGATTCAGTGTCTTACCCGCTCTGCCAGTTGAGTATGTGTTGTGGGCTGCAGGGGGGTGTAGCTGCAGGGTCACTGCAGGGAGTTCTAC